AAAATGAATGTTTTGCCCCTAAGAACTGTCCATAGATTTTCCGCAAGAGCACCAAAAGCCAATCACAATTGAAGATCAGGTGTAACGTAACACTAATGTCACATGATCAGGAAAATTAAAAACAAACGTTTTTTTTTACTATAACTCGCCCATAACTCAAAAATCCGCATAAAAAACCATCTTTAGTGCTCTAATAAAAAGGTTTCCTTGAACAATTTTACTATATATTTTGTTAACATCAAACTCAAATACAAACGCTAACCCTAATATTAGCAAACTTTTAAGAATTTGTTACCGAAAAATTTTTTGGTGGTGCTCTTGGGGTAGTTGCCGGTCGGCCAAACCGCTATTATCGACTACGGCTATAGTCGGTCGGCTAGCCGACTACAAGCCGACCGAACCCATCCCTAATTCTAATAAACAAAATGAACTGGGTATTTGTTATCAGTATGGCAAAGTCACTACTAAGAATGAAAAGAAGGAATTTGAGTGGTATTTAAAATCTGCTGAAGGCTGTAATTCTCGTGGGCAATGTAATCTTAGGTTCTGCTACAGACATGGCATATGCACTACTAAGGATGAAAAAAAGCATTTGAATGGTATTTAAAATCTGCTGAAGGTGGTAATTCTCTTGGGTAATGTAATCTTGGATTCTGCTATTCCGAAGGTATTGGCACTACTAAGGTATTTAAAATCTGCTGAAGATGATAATTCCTGCGGTCAATGTAATCTTGGATTCTGCTATGAAAAAGGCATATAGGCACTACTAAGGATGAAAAGAAGGTATTTGTGCAGTATTTAAAATCCGCTAAAAGTGGTGATTCTCTTGGCAATGTAACCTTGGATTCTGCTATTTCGAAGGTATAGGCACTGCCAAGGATAAAAAGAAGGCATTCGAGTGGTTATTAGAATCTGCTAAATGTAATAATTCTACTGGCAATGTTTCCTTAGGTACTGCTAAGGTTGAAAAAAGGCATTTGAGTGGTGTTTAAAATCTGCTAAAAGCGGCAATTCCATTGGGCAATGTAATCTTGGATTCTGCTAGTTTAGCCAATCAAAATTCAATTTTTGAAATAATTTGAGATTTGATTGGCTATAATAATTCCATATTATTCTATTTTATTCTTAATGGAGGTATTCCCGTCCCTGCTAGTTTTACAGATAATTTTATCATTGTAATATTTACACATTCAACATTATTAAACTCGTTTGAATAGTTATTTAGCATGATTGGTATGTTTAGTTTTAGCGAAAGTTTATGGGAAAGGCTGTTTTTGTCAGCCAATAAATCTTTACAAGATATATAAAAAAGGCTCCGGATATAAAATAGACTTTTATAATATACATATCGCATGAATAGGTGCTAATATTAGAAAAATTTAGATATATGATCAAGAATTCATCAACTGGTTTAAATGTAACCAAGATTCCAAAAAATCGATAAACTGTTGTGAAAGTTTTTGAATAGATCCATAACTTTGAAAACCGACTTCTAGAATATTTGCTAACACCTAAGTGTTTACCAATTTTCGAATTAATAAGCATTCTAAATTTTTTGAATCACTAAGTTTTGGAGCTTCGAGTTTTGGAAGAAATCTCGGAATGAATTTCAGGTTTCGTGTTTCGGAAGAGATCTCGGAATGAATTTCAGGTTTCGGAAGAAGTTTCGGGTTTCGGATAGGGTTTCGGGTTTCGAGTGAGGTTTCGAGTTTCGGATGAGATTCGGAACCTATAATCCGAAACCTGAAACTTTCGGATTGGTAAAAAAAGGTTTCGGTGACCAACTCGAATCACAGCATTCTGACGACCATCTCACAATATTAGATGAACCTGAATATGCACAGGGACAACATACAAATATAGACGTCACGAACTATACATGTCTAATTAAACGTGATTTACACAGAGCCATTCATTCTTCATATTGCCATACACTTTTTCCATTTGGTGTAAATATTTAACTATACAACACGTCATGTGAATTGAGATGATATGGGATTTACTTATTTGTGTAAAAAATATAAACCCAAAAAAGAAATTTTTTTAAAAAAGTGCGAAAGGGAATGAATTTAGGGTTGGGATGCTAGCGTTAGGGTTATAATAGTAAACTCTGTCTATTAATGTAAAATTCTATCCTCGTCATTTTTAATTAGAACACCATGGTCCATTAAATATTAATTTAGAGTATTTTGCTTTTTTCTTCTTTAACTTGTTCGGAATTTATGTCGAATTAATTTAGGTAAACAGTCTTTGATATATACACATCATTGTTGTTCCTTTTTCAGGAATTTCCTTTTCAGGGATTTGCTTTATTCGGATGTGATGAAATGAAATCCGCTTTTGTCAAAAGGCTTTACCATAGAATAATTCATACATTTTTTTTTGCTTATATTTTTCTATCTTTTTCTTGCTCTTCCAAGATAGAAGCACTTGCTCTTTTTTTTTTTTAATTTCAGGCATTGATAATAAATATATAAAAAAAAAAATAGGTATCTAATATTAAATAAAAATGTCATACTTACGAAATATCATTTAGAACAAATAAAACGTCGAAATATGAATATGACAATTCCGGTGAATGATGCCGCTTCAGAAACTCTTTATAATTCATTCAACGGAAGCACAGTTAGACCAACTAATTTAAGAATAGATACAACTCAATCTTATGTACTTGACCCTGGTCATAAAAAGCAAAAATCAAAATCTTTCGAAGTGGATCTTAATCAACAAGTTAACACTCAATCCTCTACAATGTCGTCTCTTTTACCTGTTAGCTCTTATACATACCATGGATTTGGTAACTTTTTAGTTATACGGATTTGCAAGTGATGAATATTATATCCAATATTCACAACTATGTTCTATGCAATATTATTCTCATATAGATTCAACGATAGTGCCAGCAGTGTATCGAAATGATTATTATGCTCGAATGTACCTTGCAGGATTAGATAATAATCATGATGAGGCTCAAATACGGCATGCTTTTTGAATAATTTCATTGATAGTTTACTCGATTTTCATCATTGTTACTATAAATTTATTGACAACTTTTTGTATATGTTGTAGGGCATTTATAAATGAAAAGAGACGTCTTCGTAGAGAAGTACATAATGCTGGTGAGTAGATAATCACTATTTATAACTAACTTTATTTATTTAAATTAATTTAGAGCATTTTCTTGACTTTCAGTTGAACGTCGTCGAAGAGATAATATTAACGAAAAGATCCAGGAATTATGTGCTCTTATACCAGATAATTTTCTTTACCGTAGTTCTACTGACAAACCAAATAAAGGTGTGATCCTCCGCAAAGTAGTAGAATATATCAAACATCTTCAACAACTGATAGGCGAACAACAATCACACAATATAGTCTTAGAAAATACAGTAATGGATATGAAGCCTGATATGTACAATTCAAATTTGAATAAATTATCACAATGTAACAGTCTTGATGAATCGGTAACCAATGGATTCAACATCCAAAATAATAATACAACACAAAATAAGGCTAGTCAGAACAACAACATTATTACTAGTAGTAATGAATCTTACGACCAAATCAATAATTTAACGCAGTCAAATATTAACAAAGAAAATGGTAATAGTAGCATAGCGGGCTTTCATTGTAATTGGCTGATTTTTGTAGATCATCCCGTGATATTGCAAAAATATCATTGGTTA